GGAATTGAGCACTGACCCACCCAAGGGGAGGTTATTGTTTGTGTCTCCACAGAGAAAGAGGAACCAGACTTAAATCTGGTGTTCCGGGATGCGAATGCAACATGCTGGCACAGAGAGGGGAGGCGGTGGAGGGGCCTGAGGACTGGGCCCCAATACCAGCTACGTTGAAAACTTCCCCTCCCAAAGAAGAATTTACTTCAGAGGACAGCACTGAAGCTGCAGCTAGGGGACAGGGACATGTATGATCAGAGCACAGAGGGGCAAATGAAGGGGGAGGAAGAGACAATGGAGCACATCCTGGGCCACCAAGCCTGGAGGATGATATTCCTGCTCCGAACAGCCAATGCACAGAGAAGACCATATGACTGATCCCAATATGAGACATGATGTCCCTCGCTAACCCATGCCCCTATTGGGGACAACACTGGAGACTTGGTGTCGGGACTGGACCAGACTGACCCCAGGACACCAAGGCAGAAAACTAAAGGCATGTGGCAGAGCAACAGGGGGAGCAGAGCATGGAGCTCCTGAGGAAGTGCAAAGGATAGACTCTGGGGTCAGAGTATGGCACCCCATCAGACTTGACTGGAGGACATGCCTAGAGGTCAAAAATCAGACCTTGATCTATTTCCAAGTTATACTTTCTTTTTAAATTAATTTTTTTTCTTTTTCTTTTTTAAATTAATTTATTCTTATCTAGGTCATTGGTTTTCTTTTTTGTTGTCATTGTTGTGTTCTCTTTTGTCACTTTGTCTCACTATGCTTTGTTTTTTGGTGCATATTATTATCTCTGAAGATCTATCTAGATAAGATAGGCTGGATGAACAGTCTAGAGGTTTCGGCAGCACATGGGAGGAGGGTAGGGTGGGGGAAAGGAGGTGGTGTTGACCAACCCAGGGACAAGGGAGCAACAAGTCATCCAAAATTACTGGCAAGGAGGGTGTGAGAGACCTGATAGGGATTCAGCAAGGACAATGTAACTGAGAGAAATTTCTGAAACCCAAAAGAAGGCTGAGCATGATAGTGGGACAAGAGGAAAGTAAAAGGATGTAAAGGAAAGAACTAGGAGACAAAGGGTATTTATAGAGGTCTAAAAACAGGTATGTACTTATGTAAATATATCTATATAGTATGGTGGGGAAATAGATCTCTGTGCATATATTTACAGGTTTCATATTAAGGCAGCAGATTGACATTGGACCTCCTCTCAAGTACTTACTCAATGCAAGGACACTCTATTCTGTTAAATTGGCATTCCATGATGCATACCTTCTCAACAAAATCTCTGAAGACAAATGTGTGCATAAACAAATGTGGTGAAGAAAGCTGATGGTGCCCGGCTATCAAAAGATATAGCATCTGGGGTCATAAAGGCTTGTAGGTAAACAAGCAGCCATCTAGCTCAGATGCAACAAAGCCCACATGGAAGAAGCAGCCTGTGTAATCATGAGGTGTCAAAGGGATCAGGGATCAGACATCAAAAAATAAAAAATCATATCATTGTAAATGAGGGTGAGTGCAGAGTGGAGACTCAAAGTCCATTTGTAGGCAACTGGACACACCCTTACAGAAGGGTTGTGAAGAGGAGACGAGGCAGTCAGGGTGCAGTGTAGCAATGATAAAACATACAACTTTCCTCTAGTTCTTAAATGCTTCCTCAAAACACTATCATGATCCCAATTCTACCTTACAAATCTGGCTAGACCAGAGTATGTACATAGGTACAGGTAGGAACTGGAAACACACGGAATCCCGGACAGATGATCCCTTCAGGACCAGTGGTGAGAGTGGCGATACCTGAAGGGTGGAGAGAAGGTGGGATAGAAAGGGGGGAACTGATTACAAGAATCTAAGTATTGCCTCCTCCCTGGGGGATGGACAGCAGAGAAGAGTGAGGAGGGAGAGGTTGGACAGTGTAGCTTATGACAAAACTATAATAATTTATGAATTATGAAGGGTTCATGGTGGGGGGAGGGAGGGGGAAATGAGCAACTGATATTAAGGGCTAAAGTAGAAGGCAAATGTTTTGAGAATGATGAGGGCAACAAATGAACATATGTGCTTGACACAATGGATGGATGTATGGATTGTGATAAGAATTTTACGAGCCCCCAATAAAATAATTTTTTAAAAAGACAAGAAATAAATCATTAGACTAGACAGGAATCCTTTTTATAATGTGCGCAAATGATATAGAATGGATTCTGGAACTTAATAAATATTATCATTATTATAATTTAAAAATATAGTTAAGACAAATGATATCAAAAACCTTACACGGATTTTGAAAATCAGATTTCATCTTGATGGCAATGGGCATTTTGCACATCTTGGGAATTCAATATGGAAAACACATGATCCTGGACAGTATAAATATCAATAGATGTCAGTGGAGTACTTTTAGTCCCCCAAACATAATTAAATTTCCTCAATTAACCTCTATGATTTATCAGTTTATAGCTGCTCCAGGTCATCATCTCTGTGTGATTTCTGTAAGACAATATCTCAGTAGATTCTCCGCTGTCATATTGCTTAAGAATTTAGCATTACTCAACTAGATTATAGTCACAGGATTAAGTCAAAATCTTCATCTTCAAAGTATTCTGTGCAACCCTGGCTGAGTAATTTTCTACTCTTTTTTTCTAACAGTCAATTTTCTTTCTTTTTTTCTTTTTTTAATTAGCGATAGCATGAAATCTATGTTTCTCTGCAGAACTTGCCAAATTGTCCGAGGTTATTTGGCTTAATTATGGCAAGTATTGTTGGCTAAATAAAACCAAATGCTCACTGTCATCAAGCCACTTCAACTCAAATAGCTGTCTAGGACCGAGGAGGACTGCTCCATGGAGTTTATAAAGTGATGAATCTTTGCGGGAGCCTCTTTCTCCCAGAGAAAGACATGTGGTGAGCAACCCAATACTTAGCCCACTGTGCCAGCATGTTTACTTGATCCAGCTCCACTAGACAGTGCGTGGCCACTTGATAGGGCTTATTTTCCCATTGGTTCTCTGTCTTGTAGTGCTTTATTTTTCCATCTGCTATGAATAGAATTTTTGCTTCGTCCACATGCAAATAGAAACGCCTACACATTACAATGATCATACGTTGTATCCTGTAATTCTCAAATGTGCATGTTCCTGTCAGCCTCTTCTTTGAGGGTTTAGAGATTTTATGCTCAAGATCCACATTTTGCTACTCTTCGATTTTTTTCAAAATGTCTATTGCACTATTGAGTTCTTTGTGGGTACCCAAAGAAAGAGAAAAAGAAAGAGTAAAGATGTCATTTGAATTACAGGAAGAATTAGGAACAATAAGTGGAGGTCTCACCCAGCCTAAGTGTATTTAAGTGTGATCTTCCATACATGATCCGCTTCTAAGAAGATTATTAAAACTATTATCTTCAACCTCATTATCCAGAATATAATGCAATTACTCAGCACATAATGTCTGATCTGGTAATGTCCAAATGGATATATGTAAACTATCACTGTCACTAAGTCAATGTCGACCTACAGTGACCCTACAGGACAGGGTACAATTGTCCCTGTTATTTTCTGCGACTGTAACACTCTACCATATAGAAAGGTCTGTCTTTCTCCCGGGGCATATGGGGTGGATGCAAAATATTTCTGGGAAAATGACATGAAAAGATGACAGAACAATTCTGTGCACTCTTTGAAGCCCTGTTGTATATCTTTGGGGCAGGGAGGAAGGGCTTGCTTGGAAGGCACCAAAAGGCAGAGTGGTGCTGAGTTGTAAGCACCACAGAAGCTGGAACTGGGCTTGTAGAGCTAGGCTGCCATCTTCAAACCACAGCTACTTCCAGACTCTGAACCACAGCCAAGTGCCCAGCAGTGGTTGTTGAGCTGATGATGCCCTGTTCAATCCCTAAAAGTCTCAGATTCTGACTAGGCTGGGAATAGGAGAGGGATACTGATTAAAGAATGTCACAAGCCCAGACACACCAAAAATTTTAATCATTTTATGAGGGGCTCATACAACTCATCGCAATCCATACATGCATCAATTGTGTAAAGCACATTTGTACATTCATTGTCCTCATCATTCTCAAAACATTTGCTCTCCACTTAAACCCCTGGCAGCAGCTCACCATTTTACAAGGATCTGCATATAACCTCCTCCCTGGGGGACGGACAACAGAAAAGTGGGTGAAGGGAGATGTCAGACAGTGCAAGATATGACAGAATAATAATTTATAAATTGTCAAGGGTTCATGAGGGAAAGGGGAACAGGGAAGGAGGGGGAAAATGGGGAGCAGACACACCAATTTTAACAACAACAAAAAATTTTTTCAAAACCATAAACCTACTACCATAGAGTAGATGACAACTCATAATGAACCTATACGATAGGGTAGAGCTGCTCCTGTAGTTTCTGAGACTGGCCTTCTTTATTGGATCAGAACGCCCAGTCTTTCCTCTGTGGAGTGGCTGGTTGTGTCTCAGGGTTAACCTTTCAATCAGCAGCCCAGCTCATAACCGTTACACCAGCAGGGCTCGCTCTATGTTATTCCTACGTTTGTATGACTGGGTCAAATGAATTGGCTCTGAGAAGCAGAGATATAGATCCATTAAAACTTGTGCTTATCAAAGTTTTCAACATTTTTATAAACCTGGTCTTTTCTTAGGAATGACTTCAACCCTAGTGCATGTCATAAATTCATAGTTGCAGACCTGTTCACCCAGGTGCTGTAGTGTCCAGTGGGGGGATAACAAATATACTTCTTTGGATACCACAAGAAAACAAAGGTATCATTTCAAAATTATTTCAAAATTAACCCAGAAAAACTTGCACAGCATGCTGAAGATTGTAAACCATGGGCTATGTGATACTGGATTGATTTAGAGCAAAATTTATTTAAAAGAAAATTGAATACAATTTTTGGAACTATTTGAGACATAAGATTAAATGATATGACTCAGCTATCTCTATCTCTATCTATCTTTATAGATATAGATATCAATATGTGGTGTGTCTAATTATGCAGAATGAGTAATCAGTTTGGCGATGATTAACTTCCTAACTGTTTCTTTCACATCTTTATTCCTAAGACTGTAGATTAAGGGGTTCAGCATGGGAATCATAACTGTAAAAAACACAGTGGCCACTTTGATCAGGAGCCATGAGTTTTTGGAGTTGGGCACACAGTAGAGCAGAAGGATCGTCCCATGGAAGATGGTGATGGCAGTCAGGTGGGAGGCACAGGTGGAGAAAGCTTTATGGAGTCCCCCAGAGGAAGGCATCCTGATAATGGTGACCACAATGAAGATGTAGGAAGTAAGTATAATCAGGAGGCTGCTAGTCTCATTGAATGTAGAAATGATTAGACATGCTGTCTGGCTGAAGGAAATATCAGAACAGGAGAGAGAGAGGATGGCCGAATACTCACAGCCAAAGTGGTTTATGATGTTTGAGCCACAGAAGGACAGTTCCACAAGCGAATATGTAAGCGTCATGGAACAGATTCCACCCCATGTGTAGGTCCCAGCTACCAGGAGGGCACAGAGCTTACGAGACATAGCGACTGTGTAGAGCAAAGGATTGCACACTGCCACAAACCGGTCATAGGCCATCACCGCTAACATGAACATTTCTGTAATCACAAATGCACAGATAAAGAAAAACTGCACCATGCAACCTTTGAAAGAGATACTCCTGACTTCAACAACCAAAGTTTCTAGCAGTTTGGGTGTAAATACACTGGAATAACAGATATCTAAAAATGATAGGTGGGTGAGGAAAAAGTACATGGGCGTATGGAGCTTGGGATTGATCCTTACAACCACAATTATGCCTAGGTTCCCCACCAGAGTGATTGTGTAGATGATCAAGAATGCCAGGACGAGGGGTACCTGGAGATGGGGGTAATCTGAGAAACCCAAAAGGATGAATGTAGACACAGAGCTTTGGTTTCCCCTCGCCAGTACCATGGCTCTTGTGGAAACAAACAAACAAACAAAGCCCAGAAAAGTGATTCTGTGGGGTGAGGTTGGGAAGTGAGGCATAGGAAGAACGCTGGAGAGAACAGATGTAAACCGATGGAGACCAGGACTGTCCTTTCCTGTCCACTTTGGATTTTTAGCCCTGCTGGTTTTGCTGTTATTAACTTGATGGACAATTAGCTATCTTTTTCAATTCTTTAGTGCCTTCACTGGGGGGAAAAAGCATTTGTTGATATCATTATTTGAGACGAATGATCTATAAATGGACATGATATGTAGGAAAAATTATATTTCATAGTAAAATGCAATTATATAAGAGAGTAAACACAATGCAAAATCAGTAAAACATTTTAGAAGGTCACAATAAACATTCAATCCAAACAAAATGGCTTTGAGACATTTTTAATGAGACAAGAATGTAATATAAGTAAATATTAAATATTTTCAATGAAAAAACATCTCTCCTTGAAAAAAAAAATCTCTCTCCATACTCTATTGCCTTTAGTAAAAGGAAGTGTGCAATGGCATAGTGAACATTTCACAAGTGTTCAAGGAGTCCTAAAACAGCTACTTCAAAAAAGATTTTCAGTAGTCTGGTCAAAATGATCCACTATTAACTTTATTCACTCCATTTTATCCCAAGTTCAATGGCTCAAAATGCTCACTCTTTTAAAGTTAACTATATTCTGCAAAAATGTTTTGGAGATTTTCCTAAAAGATTCACTTTGATTGTCTTCCTCTGGTTGTGTAGTCTGTTTGTAGCATATATCACACTGAAAAGAAAGAGAAAAGAAATCCCTTTGTTTATCATGATGAAGCACAAAAAATGTATGTTTCCAAAAAGAAAAAGTAATAAAACTATCTGCTACCAGTAATTAATCACTGATTTTATATATATATATATCCTTTTCTGATCTGGTAAAAGAATATGTATTATTAAGAAATGTGAACATGGTTTTGGAACAAAACCATGAAGGTTAAATATTAGAAATTCTACATGACTGAAACTAAAGAAAAACACTAGAAACTGATTTGTAGATATGGAAGATAAATTACTATCACTTTGAACCCATCCTGAATTGTACATTTTTAGCCTTTCAAATAACGAGGAACCCTGCTTGAGCAGGTATTGCACATTGGGATGCTAACTGCAAGATCAGCAGTTTGAAACCCTCTGTTGTCCTATAGGAGAAAGTGGGGTCTTTTCCTTCCCTAAAGAGTGACAGATGGGAAATCCACAGGGGCATTTCTATGAATCATTTCGATGGCAGTGGGTTTAGATTTGTATAATAACCAAGAGCCTGCTTTCGAATCCATGGGCACTAATCCCCTCAGCTATAAGATTATTCTTTCTATTACATAGAAGATTGGATTGACAGTTTTTGAGGCATCTATTATATTGTCTCATATGTTGACAAAAAAGAAAAAAGGCCAGTCTTTAAATTTAAGTTTTCAGATTGCATTCATTGGATCATATCACCTCAGATTAAGAATTTGTAGATGCAATCTGCTTTTACTTCATGACAAAGTTATCGAAGCACTCAGTCAGTAAAGGTTCTCAAACTTGGATTATAGTAAGAAGCCTTTGGGCTGTTAAAGCAAACTTGCTCCACAGTCACCAAGGGACCTTGGTTAATGATTCTACATCCAGGTTAATTCATCCATGCCAAGAGCAAGAGTGTGTGTGTGTGTGTGTGTGTGTGTGTGTGTGTGTGTGTGTGTGTGTGTGCATGTGTGTATGTCTACTGCCCCTTCCTTATATTAAAGCACCTGTCCTCACAATTAAGGATCCCTTCTCACAACCTGTCATAGAATAATCACATTAGTCCATTATATATTTGAGTATTTCTTTTAAGTAGTTGTTTCATAAACCATCTTTGTCATTACTGTTACATTCCAAATCCTGATGCATCTATCTCTGAGAGGTGGGAATTACAGGATTTAAGGATAGTTCCTCTTCTATCATATACAACATCAAATATCTGATTATAATTTACTAGGCCTTTTGCTCTTCTATTTGGGGAAGCAATTTAAAAAAAATGTTTTAAAAAATTCACTGCCATTGATTCAGCTCAGACTCATAGTAATCCTACAGGACAGAGTAGAACTGCCCTTCTGTGCTTCAAAGACCATAGTTTTTTACTGGACTAGAAAGTCTCATCTTTCTTCCACAGAGCAGATGTTAGTTTTGAACTGCTGACCTGTGATTAGCAGCCTAACACATAATCCACCATACCGCTAGGGTTCCTTAGTAAACATCCTTAGTGTGTTTTTTCTCCATGGAAGTCCACATACTGGTTGTTAAATATTTCAGAGGGTCTGCTCAATAGTCTGAATAAAGTATTAACCCTTCAGGTATGATATTGACACTAAGAATTAAGCGTAAGCTCCCTAGAGAAATTTTGCCAAGACAAGATGGACCACACTCAATAAGCTTCTTTTCTGTGTTATACATCTAATTATGCCCAATAAACTGAGCACTTGCAGTCATTTATCTAAACTGCTAAGTTTGTCCATGGTTTACTGGTGATCCAAAAACCCTGTATTTAATAAACAATGTTGAGAAGGGTGACCTCATTGTTACATTCCACATGCTACTGGCTCTTCGGTATTACCAGTATTGTCTACTAGACTGCTCATTTTAATTGTATGGCACCATGATCTGCTTGCTTTTATTCAGGTCTATTTGCCTTCCTGGAATGTCTTCAGTATAACTTCAATTCTGTCACTATTAACAATCACCAGTCCCCTTTTCAATCGTCTATGACTTTTGGCAACTTGTTAAACTTTTAATATTATTTTTATGTCAAGCTCGGAAGAGTAAACAAACTATACTTAACACGTATTTTAATTTGAATAAATGTGTCTAAGGCGTCTGGAAAGGTTAAGAAGCAATTCAAATAAATCTGCTACTTTGTCATTAATTTCACCAACATTTGGAAGACAAGGCCTACACTGTATATTTATAAGTTTACCAGTTATATAAAAATGCATACAAGATTCAAAGTGTTGCAATAGTGCTTTGTGGATAGTTTTATGAAAATAATCATTGTTTTATTTTTAATTAATTTAAGAATCTGGAACTTTTATTGTAGTTGAATTGATACCTTGTTCATGGTATTAAAAATAAAATTTTAAAAATACAGTTTAGAGAACTGTTTTATTAGAAACTCTATTCTCAACAGTTTTATTGCTTTTCAGGGATGGGACTGATTGGATCTATAGATGGCAATGGTTGGATGGATGGATGAATAAAATGCTGGCCTATTTTCTGTAGTAGCTGTAATATTTACAGGAAATAGATAACAAAAGGCTGCTATCCACTCATACAAATATGCAATCCTAAAAGTTTTATTTGTCAAAACAAATTATTAAAGCCTTCTCATTTGTTTGTCTTTTCCTCTGAACTTGCTCAATCCGTTCTTTAATATTTATGCTTTTGTATCTTTCAATGATGAGTTCCCCTCATTAACTTTGTCAAGAACAGTGTGCTGATTCATGCAAATTACTTTTTTCCCTGTTGCTCTATTTCTTTACACCAAATCTCCAATCTCTATACAAAGCCTTGCCTATTTTGTGTTTTTTATGCATGCATAGGTATCTGTGCATATCGCTTATTTTAGTTTACACCATAATGTCCTCTCACTTCTTAAACACAAGCATTTCATTTACTATGTCTCTATAAACACTACTATATATGTAGTGGAAATGAAAGACAAAGTTTCAAATTCAGCATAATAGTCCTAAGGGTGATTTCAGCAGAATTCTGCACCTGGAATACATGTCATCCACCGAACTAAATTAATATCACTCTAACTCAGTCCATGAAGTTTCTCTATAACATATTTGCTACATTTTAGTATTCTTCACCCAAGAAAGAAACAATAATTCAACATGGTATCAACTCACCAAAAGACAGAATTTTCTTGATGTACTTTTAAATAAAGGCTTTCTTTGTATAATGAACAACCTCCATATTCATTCTTGCTCAAAATTGAAATTTTCCTACATGTTTTTCATTCATTTACAGTTTGAAGAATAGTCTTACAAGATGGAACTCAGTAAAACAATCCGATAATTATTTTTCCAATTGAAAATACAATTTGAAATTAGTGTAGAGATCTTCTTTCACAAGCCATAGATCTGAGAGTTAAATTCCAGGACCATGTTGTTTTTTTTACCTCTAGACCTTAGGGATTTGGACCCCAGAGAATCATGATTGGGTTTATTGTTATGAGCTATAAGACAATAATTGGAATAAATTATCTCTTCCATAATTTAGGGTGCAATTTCTTCTAAATAATTAATTATTTTTGCATCTTAAAAACTTGTTTATCTTTGTAGAGAGGCCACTTTGGAAAATCTTCAAAAGAAAACTGGTCATTTCTAAAAAAAAAAAACCTGAATTTTTTTTTCATTTTTATTTGTCTTTTATAGTTTTGTCCACCCATTAGTGTAGAAATAACAATTTGCATTACACTTTAAATAGTTTTACATTCTACCCAGTCATATTATACTCTGAATATGCTTTTTTTGAGGGGCCAGGACTGTGGAGATACTAAGGGCCTTCAAAAAGTTCATGGAAAATTATATTGTCATTTGATTCCATTTTTTGTGATTGCATTGAGGTTCCCTAGTTGTTAGGTGTCCTGACTGCAATTATAGCTATATTTTTCAGTACAACGATTAAGGTCACAGTGATGACAGATTAAATCAATCTAAGTAATTCCTAAATTTATCCTCAAATAAAAATCAAGGAAGAAATAAAATGGTGTCAAATAGTGACTCAGTAACCACTTTGTTTCCTTGGCCAGAGTATTTTAAGGCACAAAAATATGCAGTGACATTTAAGTACTAAAATTATCAAAAGTATTTAAGATTCTTAATGTGCCTAATATTGATAGATTTAGCCAAGTGAGTGGCCCACATATAAACAGCTAAATCGGGTTCATGTTTACAATTGTTATAAACATGTCTCCCTTGATCTG